CTCATTTGTCAGAGCATGTAAGTAGGCATAATCAACATAAAAAATAGGAAAAACATAGTCATGCACATATCAGAGGACAAATTATATTGCATAATAATTATTAGCCAACATGAGTAAGGTGTTGCAACGTGATTGTATGGTGTAAACCTATCTACACATAAGTCAAGCCTAACATTGTATGGTTTAACTGCAAATTCATGATAACTACGATCGAACGGATGACTCGGGGAATTAGAATCCACATACCGAGTACCGTGTCGTGTTATGTGCAGAGTTGTACGCTTAGAAACAAATAATATATGAAGGTTGGGTGTGAGCGACAAGCAGATAAGATGTTTGTATGAAATATTTTTTTATATTTACTGTTTTGCTTCCTTGGTTTGGATCTCTCAACACCAAAAAATTTACATTCTCTCTTCATTGCATCAACCTTATGATATAGCATGCAACCATTAACGCGGAATTGTGTGGTATATATGTAATCTTTAGGCTTAGAGTATAAGCCAAGGCAATTAATAGTTAATACAGGATATAAATGCTAAAAAAAAGCTTTTTTAGTTGTTGGCAAATTTATCATAAAATGCAAAATAAATACATGGAACAATATTGAAAAGTTACATAAATAGCACACAAATCTCATGTATTTATATATTTGACATCCAAATATCATAAAAGATGATTAGAAAGAAGCAGAGCTGATGAGCTGATGGTGCAATCATGCTTCTTTTCAAAGAAGATACATTCATGTCGATCCAGCACTGCCTCTAACTAATGTTCAGGAGGGATTACAGTTGTGGTGGTGCTGCTAATCAACATAACTTACAATTGTGGTGGTGCTGCTAATCAACATAACACTAGACTAATGTTCAGGAGGGATTACAGTTGTGGTGGTGATGCTAATCAACATAACACTAGTATTGTGTGTCAGAGCATGACACTAGCTTCTTCATCTTTTCTTAAGGACTCCCTATAGTGACCCTAAGAAAAGTTGGGTGAGGTGGCCTGCCTCCAATACCACCTAAAGTCATCTATAATACAAATAAATACATTAAAAAAGTTAGTGTTGAGCAACAAAAATAAGCATGAAACGTAAAAAAGTTAATATTATAAAAGATAAATCAGGAAAAAAAAAACTAAAGTCTAAATATACATACCATTTTTAGTCTATTTCAACTCATTTGTCAGAGCATGTAAGTAGGCATAATCAACATAAAAAATAGGAAAAACATAGTCATGCACATATCATAGGACAAATTATATTGCATAATAATTACTAGCCAACATGAGTAAGGTGTTGCAACGTGACTGTATGGTGTGAACCTATCCACACATAAGTCAGGCCTAACATTGTTTGGTTTAACTGCAAATTCATGATAACTACGATCGAACGAATGACTCAGGGAATTAGTATCCACATACCGAGTACCATGTCGTGCTATGTGCAGAGTTGTACGCTTAGAAACAAATAATATATGAAGGTTGGGTGTGAGCGACAAGTAGATAAGATATTTGTATGAAATATTTTTTGATATTTACTAATTTGCTTCCTTGGTTTGAATCTCTCAGCTCCACAAAATTTACATTTTCTCTTCATTGCATCAACCTTATAATATAGCATGCAACCATTAACGCAACAATATATCTTCTCAGATATTACACCTAACTTTGATAATATTTTTTGTTCAATAAATGTCATATGGAACTAAATTCTATGTAGGGTTTTTCTCCTTCAGTAATGTTGTTACTTGATTGAAGCATTATCTGAACATGCTAAAAGAAGATCTTATGCTTAACATTCTCAGTGTCACTGGCAATTTTGTATGTGTATTGCAACATTCCCACAAAGTTCGATGCACAACATTCAGTAAATCATAAAATTATTGTGCTTCATTGTTCAATGTTTGGGAATACTCCTAAAAAAATGAGTCTTGTATATATCGTAAATCATTTCTTCTTCTGTTGGGATCGTATTTCGTTAGAGTAACATAACCCGACGAGCGCCAACATGATCTTACTGAACATTTGATTTATACTCATCATATGCAATCTAGCTAGTATCAATAATTGGGCTTAAATTCCTTGTGATACAGATCCAGCTTGACTTTTTTAGGTGTTAGATACATTTGATTTTTGTGTTTCACATAAGAGCATTGAAACTTACCCTCTGAAAGGTAAATAGATAATTGTGATGCGACTTGCACAAATTCTTCAAGAACTAATCTGTGAGTCCTTTTCCTTTTAGATACAAATTACTATACATCCATGATCTCAAATTTTAAATATTCATCAACAACTTATATGTAGATTTATAGATTAGTATATTTAAATATCAGTCGTACATACATTTCATATGTACAACATATCTAACACCCAAACTTCAATCTTTACGTACAAACCACACAATTCTTATGTATTACATACATACAAACCACATAATTCTCATGCATCACATTTCTAACACCTAAGCTTCAATTCCTACATACAAACAACAAAATTCTTATGTATTATATGCATACAAACCACACAATTCTACGTATTACATATCTAACACCTAAACTTCAATTTACAAACATCACAATTCTTATGCATTACATATGTAACGCCTAAATTTCAAATGTAACATGCAAACCACACAATTCTTATGTATTACACATCTAACACCTAAACTTTGGCTTTTACATACAAACTACACAAGTCTTGTGTTACATATCTAACACCCAAACTTCAATTCTTACAAACAAACCACACAATTCTTACGTAAACGGCGGAGTTTAGGGGTTAGATATGTAAATACTCACTAACTGGGTGGTTTGTATGCAAATGCCCCTTTCCCTAAATCCTAAATGCAGCTAAACACTACCTAATGCGCAGCTAAACCCAATACATAAACCTAAAAAATGGATTTCATTCAGCTAAGAAAAAAAAAATAAATGAATCGACAAATTAAATATGGGAAAAAAGGAAACTTACCTCAAAGAGCTCTAACTGTGGTCGGACAGTCGCTGGAGAGGTTGTCCGGTCATTGAACGGTAGTCGGACAAACGTCGGAGAAGAGAAGGTCGCGTGTTCGCGTAAGGTTGTAGGGAGACAGAGTTTCGAGAATAGAACAGTGGAGAGCGTGAATGAGTTTGACTGGCACAGGTTTAGATTTTGGAGTTAGGTGTCATATTTGTGTCGAATACATCTGACCCTATGAAATTTGTGTTGACCTTAGCGTCCGCACTACTGCCATAGTTAAGTGAGAAGGATAACTCGGCTCTAAGCTTGATGCTAAATGTTTGTGTCGGCATAAGACAATATCGAGCTCATCCTTAATAAAGATAGTCACAAACGAGAAATTGATATGATGTAAATTTTCTCTGTCGAAACTCATGAGAGTGGATATCTTAATGTTGTCATCAAATTTTGAATGGTTTAGTTGTAAATATATAAGTGTAGGTGGTAACGATGTTATTTCTCATGTTCTAAACAATAGATATGTAAAAATCATATATTTTAATATAATTAAATTGTTCGAGAATATAATTAAAGGTCTGTTTGGGACACTTTTCCAGTCGTTTTGCTTTTCAAACCACCACCAGGTCCACCACAGTTATATTTGGGGAATTGCTTTCTTGCTGCTTTTAAGAAATTTCAGAGTCAAAAAACAGTTTGTTTCTAATCGGGGTTATTAAAGTGTTGTGGCTGTCAGAAAGTTGTGGTAATCTTATATATATCATCAACGCTTATATCGACAAGAAAAATCATGAATAAAATAGGCTTTAATTATAAGGAGTTTATGATGAGCTACAAGCATTCCATGAAATTAATTCATGCTTCGGTATGAAAACTACATTGTCGCTGACAACTTATTTATAGTTCCAAATTATGAACAAGTATTTCTAATTTTCCAATGCTTACAAAAATATTCTTCCAAATAAAAATATAAATATTACTTTCTTTCATATAGTTGGAGCAATCATTCAAGTTATAATAATAATAATAATAATAATAATAATAATAATAATAATAATAATAATAATAATAATAATAATAATAATAATAATAATAATAATAATAATAATAATAATAATAATAATAATAATAATAATAATAATAATAATAATAATAATGAGACGCAATTACATAGAGGCCGCCGAAAACTTACTATTTAAAAATCAACCAACTTTTTTCATACATTTTTCAATTTATCACTCGAATATGAAAATTTATGGTAAGAACTCAACCCATATTTTTCATTAATCAAATTCCCAAAAGTTCGATTGTGACATGCATAAATACATCCTTATTATAGTTTCAAAACAAAATCACCTAGACGATTAATTTATAAATATCAATATTTCAGGTGATTTGTATATAATTATCCTTAATAATAATTAGCATTCATTGGCACGACTTGTTGTTTATATTTTGGCTCCAACATAACTAATATTTCATCTCATTAACAATATCAAAGATGTTCATATTCGACTCAATAGTAATTAAGGCGATAACCCTTCATGTTGAAAAAATATTGCATCAGGGGTCTTTATGCAATTTTGTATCAGGACTCCAAATCAGGGTCCGCCACATGTGCAAGCCGGCCCAACCATGTTTTAAATTAATTTTTTTTTAATAACAAAAGTGGGTCTTTATTTACAGATGACAGACCTTGATTGGAGTTCTGATACAAAACTACATCAGAACTCATGATGCAATATTTTTTTCCTTCATATTTTGCTCATTTATAATTTGAATTACACAAAGAGGCCCAAATAAAAACAAAATTTTGCACCATATTGATTGAAAATAAAATGAAAGAAATAATCTTTCACAAAAATACCAATAGAAGCTTCCAAAAATCTAAAATCAGCTAAATAAAATGTTCAACAAAAGTAAGGCTTTTACAGTCACAACAACAGTAAATAAATCTGAAGGAAGAAAGAAGAGTCTTTTGGATCCATAAAGCTCATCATCAATACAGTGACAAATAGAGCTTCAAAACTGACATTCTGTTTTTAATGTCCTAAACCCTCAACAGAGCACAAACATTACACCTAATCATGGAATCATTTCAGCACTCACATTTGATCTGTAAACACATAAAATTTCGGAGGGAGAATATTGTAAATAGAAATAAAAACATAAATATATGTGTGAATTGAAGATTCATAAACATACCACACAAGTTCTATGTATTTACATATCTAATGCCTAAACTTTGATATTTAGGTGTGTTTCACCTTTAAAAAGTTGGTGATAGTGGCATGTTTGATGCGATATGAAAGATTAGATAGTTAGAAATGTAAAAAAGTTGGTGAAGTTCAGAAGGTAGATATGTAAATTCATGAGAATTGTGTGGTATTTATATAAATGCATGTATAAATATATATATATAAGCAAGTTCAGAGACTTACATCTATGATAAAGGTTGCTGGAGTAGGGGGGAACTCCTTGTCTGATCTGGAGAAACATATGAGGAGAATAACAATGTAACTTTTTTCTCTTTTTGTTTATTTTATGATAATTTAAATTTTTGTTTGGTAGGGATTTAAAAATGAAAACTATAATTTTAAACTTGAATTTTTAATGAGAAATTTAATATTTTTTTCCAATGAGAACGGGTATGTGACTCATAGATAGTGTTGTTAACGACCCGATTTAGAGCCGAGCTGGCGATGGGTCAGTCGGCTCAAAAAAGAATTGATCCAAGAATTTGGCTTATAGCTTAGCTTCTTTATTTCGATTTGACATCAATCAAAGCTAGAATTCAAATCAATTTTCGAGCGATTAACAACCTTCGAACAAAATTCACTGCCTGAACTTCACTAAGGCTGTTAACAATCCGATTTGAAGTCAAGCTGGGGTTGGCTTGATATCAGCTCGAAAAAAATACAATCCAAAATTTTGGCTCGTATCTCAGCTCATTCATTTCGATCTGATCTCAATCCGATTAAAAATTCGAATCAATTTTTTAGCAATTAACAATGTTCGAGCTAAACTCACAGCCCTACTCAAAGAGATAAACTATTACTTATTAATTAGATTAAAACTGAATAAAAAATGAAACTAAAAGTAAAGCATTAGCATTTCTTCATTTCCTTTAAACCAAACATATAGACTAAACGCTGTGTAATTTTATACATGAAAAACACACACCTGATAATTGTCTGTGTTGCTTCCAGATTGATAGAAAGAACCTGGAATTAAAAAATAAAAAATAAAAAAAAAACACAGAGAGAAGTACGATAGCATATAAGTATGTCTAAAAATATAATAGGGGCATTTGCATACATACCACACAATTCTCATGTATCTACATATTTAACACTCAAACATTCATCTTTACAGACATACCAACCAAATCTAACATATAAAAAATACTACCATAACTGTCTCTTAAAAGTAAAATACATCTTTTCATGCAAAGGTTTATGGCACCAAAATGCTATAAATGTAAATATCAAGCTTTGGGTGTTAGATATGTAAATACATAAAAATTGTGTGGTATGTAAATAAATTTTGCAATTAAATAAAAAAAAAGTAGGGAAGGCCGGTCATACCAGTAGAATAACCAGCAGGAGCTGACTGATGTTGATAATGTAGAGATGAACCAACCCCACCGGGAGGCATCACAGCATAACTAAAATAGATTCAACCTTAAGTTAAGCTCAAAATAGTTAAATAACATTAAAATTTAAGTTTATACATATATATATATACATATATATCAGGAATTTTACGTATGTAGCACACAATTATTATGTACCTCACACCTAAACTTTCATATTTATATGCATAGCACTGAAGTCTTCAATATCACATCAAAAATAGCAATATTATCACTTTTTAAAAGTGAAATAAAGCTTTTCATACATATATTTAAAACACTAAAGTGCAATGTATGTAAATATGAAAATTTGTGTGAGACATGTAAATAAATAAGAATTGTGTGCTATGTATGTAAATGCTTCTCGCAAGTCTTAGGATCCGTTTGATGCGGCTTATTTACCGTGGTGTGGCTTGAAAACACAATTAGAATTGTTTGGTTAATGTGGTGTATCTGCGTTTGGGAAAGGCGTATGAAACGAGTACCGCGGATTTGACCCTGCAGCCCGCGTTTCTTCGTGATTCATTTACCGCCCTAACCCAATGAAAGCTCTCGTGATTGCTTTCGCCCCTGCTCTTCCCTCTCTCGATTTTTGCCCAAAATTGGATCTCTTCGATCCTCTTCGATCTGTGGATTGGGTTTATTTCCTTTCTCTTCTCCTCTCCCTCTCCCCTCTGTTTTTCGGCTGATTAGTTATTGTTGCGGAGAGCTTGCCTCTCCATCCTCTTGGATCATTGGATCTTTGTTGCCCCCACGGTATTTTCTATGACATTCTATTGAGGCATTTTGATTTAGGGTTGAAAATTTCGGTTCTTTGTTGTGCTTTGATGTTTTCGGTTTGTTGTGCTGTGATGTTGAAATTTGGGTGGATTTTAGTTTGTGTAAATGATGGATTTCAGTTTTTGGTGCTCTACTCGGTTGATGGATTTGGGTGATTGGGTGGTGTAGTTGGATTTCGCAAAGTTTGATTGTCTTTGTTTATTCGCTATCCGGTTGATAAATTTGGATGGTTGTGCTATGATGTTGGTTGTTACCCGAAATTTAGTGATGGTGGTGGTTGCATGTGGAAATTAATTGAATACAAATATGTTTTTTTGTGGTTTAACTATATTGCCCTAGTTGGTGATGGTGGTGATTTTGTGGTGGCTCCCCTAAATGATGGATTTTGTGTTGTGTCTTGGAAGTGATGATGTGTGGTGTTGAGGTGATGGTGTGTCGTGTGGAGGTGATGGGTAGGCAGTGGTGTGAAGGTGGTGTGGAGCCAGTGCTGTGGTGTAGAGGTAGTGTGTAGGCAAAGGTGTTTTGTGGTGTGGAGGTGGTGGTGTCACATGTGTGGATTTGTCGGTATGTGGCAAGGAGGTGGCGTTATAGGTTTTAGGGTTTGGTGTGGTTGTGGTGTGGTTGTGGTGATGTGTGGGTGTGGAGATGGTGGTGGTGGGGTTGTCGATATAGGTAGTGGAGTGGTGCACATGTGTTGTGTGCTGTGGAGGTGGTGGTGTCACGAGTGTGGATTTGTCGGTATGTGGTATGGAGTGGTGTTGTAGGGTTTAGGGTTTGGTGTGCTTGTGGTGATGGTGGTGTCGATATTGTTAAAATTGTGGCATTCCTACTTGACAATCTTGTTTCATTCTTATTTAAGTTAATTATTTTTTTCATGTTAGTAATATAATGGTTAAAACCAAAGAGGTTGGTTCATCTGCAAAGCGGGACAAAGAAACAAAAATAATATTTTGTGACATTTGTCTCAATGAAGTCGATCTGGAAAAAAGGCTTACAACCTATTTCAACAAGGGTGGCAAAATATTATCTGAAAATTCAAGAAAATTTCAGGCAAAGAAATCGACTTCCTTAGGGCAGACGAAGATCATGAGCATGTCCATGTCGAGTTATATGAGTACTGTCTTGGATAATCTTTGTCACAAACTGAAAATGTCTCTAAACCCGTACTAAAGACTGTGGAGATGCAAGCGAAATGACATAGTTCAAGAAACAAATTACATATGCGATAATAGAAGAGTGATTTGAGAATTCATCATATTATTAATTGTAATAGTTGTTGAAGAGATTCAATGTTTATTGTATTTGTATTTTATACAGTTCATGTTTATTTCCATTTCTTGTGTATTTAATATTGATTGTTTGGATTTTTTATGTTGTTTATAAGTGTTTTTTTTTTAATTTCTTTTGTTTTACATTTGGTGGGTTTTGAATGTCTATGATTAGACGTTTGACCTTATGGTTTCTTCTGGATGACATATTTGTCATATTGGTTGGTTACATGTGAAATCTTAATGAAAGCAACCAAGTTACTCTCTTTTTTTTCGGCGATACAGTTTTTGAGGTTCAACATGTCTATTATGTGGGATAAAGATAACTAAGAACCCATTTTTTATAAGGTCTATTGTCTTCTTGTAGTGATAGATTCATTGGTTGATATACTGAGTTCTCTGAGACCTCATAACTGCATAAAACTATAATTAATTACTTCTTTTAACAATTTTTGCTTGTGGTTATGTCTAATGAAATATCTTTCAAAGCATTTAGAAAAACTGAGCTCGAGGATTTATGATACCTCCTGAGGATTGCGCTATCACTGTGGACTTCAATGTTCATTACTAACTTCGCGTCAGCCACATAATTATGGGAGACAGTTTTACAAATGCCCGCAGAGAATCACGAAAAACCGTGACTTTTTAAGTTGGGCAGATATACTAGAAGCTTCCATTGTCGAAAGTAATCAAGCATGGATAGTATCCCTGAAGGACGACTTAGCTCGTAAAATATATTGTCTGCATTTTAAAAATAATATTATCATATTATTAAATGTTATTTTAATAATATTTTTCTTAATTTTAGTAATAATGATACTCATTATTAAGTGAGATGTATATCTCTTTTTTTGTAAAATTCTGCACTGGATTTTTACTTCTAAAATATAAAATATACTAGTATGACGGTTCTGTTGCAAACAACATTACTATACAAAGGAAGAATAGTCATTTGTCCAGAAACAGCTACAGCACAGCTGTTTTCAAACTACAAAAAAACAAACAAGCAATCAACTTATCCGCAACAGCCTCCCGTGGCAGTTGCTACACAACAGCTTCTTGTGACAGCTGCTGCGCAGCATCTTATTATTAAACTACAGCTGCCCTAAACAGACCCTTAGTATGCTACTTATGTAAATGCTTATTGTAAGGCTTAGTTTGACATACAAGAATGTTTGAAAAACTATGAGCAACGTATAAATGGGATACAAGTTAAGAGCCAATTACATGCATAGCACTCAGAACATTATTATTTATAAAACTAGCACCATCTTTCATCAATTTTTCAAATCCTTAACTTAAATATCAAAATTCACAACAAAAACCCCAACCAATATACTTTTCATTTTTATCAAATACCCGATGGTTTGATCATGACACGCAAAAAACCGTTCAATAGTTCAAAAAACCATTTGGCTTTTCAAGTGCTATATATGTAATTATCCCTAAAAGTTGATGATGATGATGATGATGAAGCAGTAAAAAAATGGGAATAGCAGAGAGAGAGAGAGAGAGAGAGAATGCAACACATGCATTTACATTACAGAAGAATAGATAAACCTAAAAAATTAACTTGATGAGCAGAAGAATAAGTAGCAATCACAAAATCGACAACAAACGTAACCATCACAAAGAATAAACTACAAAAAAATATTGGAAGCTCAACATACATACCACTTAATTCCCATGTATTTACGTATCTAACCCGTAAACTTCAATTTTACATATATGCCACATTACCTATGCATTATTTCAACTTTTAAAAGTTAAAAAAGAGGTTTTTTTATTTGATATGAAAGATTAGGGTGGTATAATGTAAAAAAAATAACGTTTAGTTGTTAGATATGTAAATACACAGGGAATTGGGAAGTACGCATGTAAATGCCCCAAAAATAATTTCAAAAAGTAAAATTTTGGATCAGCATATAATTTGAGTACATGATGGATTTCTTATCCATTGAATTTTGCTTTATGATTAGTGCAATTCATGGTAAATCAACCAAACTCTTATATCAAATCCAATCAATGAAAAGAAATTCATCCCATCCCAAACTTTCTCCATTCTAAAACCCTCTCCAAATAGTTGACAAATGGCTCCATGCAAAAAAAAGGGGGCATTCACATGCATACCATGCAAATCCTATGTATTTACATATCTAACATAAAAAACTTTTCTTTTTACATTTCTACCACCCAAATTTTTCACATCCATCACATCAAAAGTATCACTATTTTATCTTTTAAAAGTGAAATACACCTTTCATGCATAGGTAAGGTAGCATATATGTAAAAATTGAAGTTTAGGTGTTAGATACGTACATAAATAAGAATTGAGTGGAATGCATGTAAATCTTCCCCAAAGAAAATTGCATATTCCATTCAAGGAAAACTTTATTATAGTAGGAAAAATGAAACCTTGAGCCTGCGATTCCCAAACCGCCGTCCAAACGAGAGCGGGGATATCCCCGCAAATCAGAATACATGCCATCACCCTGCAATATCACCTTATGTGATGAGCATATAAAACAACATTGAAAAGGAGAACATGACATCTGGTTCGAGTAAAATCACCAATGCCGAAAAGGAGCGCTTCGTTCCCAATACTGTTGATGAATAATCCTGTAAAGGAAGGGCTGGCAGCAACAGAAATTCAAAAAAAAAATAAATAAATAAAAATAAAAATT